ATTTGGTCAATGAGAAAAGTAACTAATATAGGAGGTGTTTATAGTAACATGTGACTTGGTCCATCTACTTCAATTTCTATGACCTTCTATATGAGTTGTGGTGAAACATTTTCTTAAATTATTGATCACACACATATCTGTTATCATTTCAGATCAATTCAGAAATCTCTACCAGCAACTGATTACTACTGGTTAAGACTCCCTTTATCAAACAGAGGGGTTTTGCTATATATTGCTTTTTTAGGAAAATAAATCTGATAGCAATATTCTTGTTTTAGTTTTTTTTTTTTTTTTGCTATGCCAAATACACTGATAAGGAGCCACATAGGGGAGGAAAGGGTTTATTTGACTTACAGTATTAAGTTATAAGCCCATTATTTCAGGGAAGCCAAGGCAGGAACTCAAGCAGTTAGACATTTCATATCCATAGTCAAGAGCAAAGAGAGATAAACATCCCCTCCCTCTCTCTCCTCTCTCTCTCCCTTTCTCTGTCTTTCCCTCCCTGGCAGCTAGCTTTCTCCTCTCTTATATTGTTCAGGATACCTAGGGAATGAGCAGCCTTCAATGGGCTGGGTCTTCCTACATCAATGAACAATCAAAACAGTCCCCCACAGGCATGGCCACAGGCTAACCTGATCTAGGCAATTCCTCATTAAGACTCTCTTCCCTAGTAATTCCAGGTTGTGTCAAGTTGATAGTTAAACCCAACCAGCACATTATCCATTTCATAATGTTATTTTAAAACCCTAAGCCCATTTCCTGTTGTTTACCTATAAAGGGATAGAATCCAAACTCCTCTGTATGAGAAGCTTCATTCCCCTCAGCCTGCCCCTGCCTGTCATCTCATCACATCAATCTGTGTGTGTGGTTGCATGAGCTCCTATAGCTTCTGAAATAGATTACCACAGATTTACTGACTTTATACAACACTAATTATCTTACTGTTCTGTGGTTGTAAACACCACATGTTCTAGTTTCCTTCCTGTTGCTGTGATAAAACACTGATCAAAAGCAACTTGGGGAAAGAAAGGGTTTATTTAGTTTACACTTCCAAGTCACAGTCTATCATGGAGGGAAATTGGGAGGAACTCACACAGGAACCCGAAGCAGAATCCATGGAGGATCTTGCTTGCTGGCTTGCTCTCTCGCTCCTTGTCAGCTAGCATTTTACACAGCTCAGAACTACTCCTTGGGGAATGGTGCCTGTGGACCCACCCTCCCACATCAATTAGCAACTAAACAATGCCACACAGACATTCCCCAGGTCAATAGAATCTAGGAAGTTCTTTGGTTAAGGTTCCCTCCTCTCAGGTGTCTAGGTTGTCTCAAGTTGGCAATAAAAACTAACCAGCATACCGTGTGTCTTAATGGACTAAATTCAAGGAGCTGGTAAGGGAAGAATATGCTTCCTGCTTTGCCAGCTTCTAGAGGTCGCCACACTGTCTTGTGATGATTTTTCATCTTTAAAGCCAGCAACAGCCAGTAGAGCCTTTCACAAGACATCACTGTGACACTGTTGGGTCTCCCTTTCTTCTACTAACCCCATAATGAAACTGGGCTCAGATGATGAAGAATCATCTCCCCATCTGAAGATCCTTAGTCACATCTGGTCATATTTGGGAGGCATTTTTTTTTTCTGCCCAACAAAAGTGGGTCTTTATAGAGGACCCACTTCTCTACTTAAAAGACTGACTCCTCAGCATGCCATGAGATTCTATGGAAAGTCACCACTTTCATGAGGACCTTTCTTCCTCAAAACCCAAGTGGTGCATTCTTCTCTGCCTCCACTGGCCCACATGCAGACATGGACTACAGCACTTATTTTTCACTGTAATTTCTTTGTCTCCAAGCATATCACTGCAACCAGATGGTGAGTCATGATGCCTTACTCATCTCTGCAGCTTCAGAGGTCCAACTATAAAAGTTTGTGGGGAAGAAAATTTAATGTGATATTTTAATGCATGAAGACCTCAGGAGGAGGCAGAGGCAGGACCAATAAATTTATAGAGCCTCTGTTTGGAGTACAACTTTTATGACTGACAGCTTTTAATTAATTATTATCACACAATCAACCCCTATTCTTTTAACCATTCCAGGGAGGTATCATGGTGAATTTAAAACCAACCACTTTCACATTAAAGCTTATTTTAACTGTAGTGTGTTACACTATAAATACTGTCAAAGTTTTAACTGTCTCCCTGGGTTTCATGAGAAAAGACAAGGTACCCCCATTTTCCCCTTGACAATAGTTGAGGAACTATTGGCAGCTGATTACTGTGGGGTGAGGGACTTGACTTTAAGGGAGTGACTCTAGGTAGGTTGACTAGACTCCAGTAGATGAACTTGCACTGAGGAACATCTGGTTACAAATGCTTGACCGGATAGGACTTAACATATATGACAGGCCTATGAAATCTGGTGAGGGGGCTATGGGGGGGGCATGAATGGGGAAGAGGTCTAAATTTGATCAAGATGTATTATATGAAATGCACAAAAATTCAATAAAAATATTTTTTTTTTAAAAAGAAAAGACAAAGTATACCCAAGTGCTAGGATTCCAAGTTAGGGAAGTAATATTACTTTATATACTTTTTGAATTCATATGAACAAACATTTGGCTATCAAATCTAACTGGGCTGGTTGGAAATTGAAAGCAACTTGCCTACAGTATTTATTTGGTATTTCAGTGTTTGAAAGTTCTTGAAAAAAATTAAAGAAAGTAGGGCTGGAGAGATGGTTGAGCACAGGCTGCTCTTGCAGAGGACCTGGGTTTGATTCCCAGCACTCACATGGCAGCTAACAACTGTCTGTAACTACAGTTTGAGGGGATCTGATACCCTCTTCTGGCCTCTTCAGGCATTGCATGCACAGGTGCAGTTACATACATGCAGGTAAAACACTCATACACATTAATTAGAAACTAAAGAAAGTTCCAATTAAGCAAAAATTTAAATAGTCTTAAGTATTTAAATGACAAGTCAAAGAAAGTGGTTGAATAAATTAAGGTCACATGAATGGAAGGAGATCTATTTTTAAAGTCAATGATTTGCTATGCATGCCTCATGGCCCTGACAGCACCACAGAGCACAGAAATACAAGCATGCAAATACTCCTAAAACTTATGTGCCTAGGAACTGAGCTTCAAGAACCCAATGGTTAACCAGGATAGAGAGGATCTTGTTTCGTAACTTGAATACAAAGTCTACTTCATTGTTCTTCTTTATTAGCAATATTAAAATCTTCTTCAACCTAACTTACATCTTGGTTTTGTGAGCTTAAGGTTAGGAGAAGGCAGTTTATGAAGTCAAGAGTTGTGTAAACAGGTCTTTCATTACACTTCACTCTATTTCCTAGTACTGAGAACACTTAGTAATTTTAGAACCAGGGGTGGCCCATCCATTTATATGAAACTCTGCACTCACAAATGATAAACAGAAGCTTAGCTGCATCCTACCCCACATTCATAAAAGGTGAACAGAGGCTCCAGTGCATCTTATAGAGCAGGAAGACATCAAGGCTGAGGAGAGATTCTACTTATTTCCACTGTGAGACCTAAACAGGGTAAGGTGTAGCTGCATGCAGTACTCATAGCAAATTTTAAACTTGAACCAGGAAGCACAATCATCCATGTCCTGGGGCCTTCTCAAACTTTAAAAAAATTTTTTTTTTTTACTTTATGTGCATGAGTGTATTGTCTGCATGTGTGTAAGTGTACCTGTGTAGTGCAATGCCCACAGAGGTCAGAAGGAGTCAGATCAGGTAAGGACAGTTGTTAGCTGGGTGCTGGGAATTGAATCCACATAGTTGGTAAGAGCAATCAGTGCTCTTATCTGTTGAGCCATCACTCCAGCCCCAAAACCTTCTTTTTTAAAATAAATATATAGTGGCAGCTGTAGTAAAACAAAATGAAACAATAGTAAAACTGCTTGGCTACATATTACAGTTTCTGTGTTAGTCAAATGTCAGTAGAACTGCTTTTCTCTAACTTACTCTCTTCTGAAAAGAAATCTTTTCTGGTCTTGTATTTCATCCTGAACACGTTTACTATGTTGTGCATAGTAACAACTGAGAAAAAGTGTTTCATCTAGAAAAAAAGTGAGAAAACTTCAAAAACCACTGTGCTTCTGCAATGCTAGGTTTCCAAGTTTTTAATATAAAGCTAAAGCAAAATAAAGATTGCTGCAGTAACCAAACTTTGAACAAGTGTCTTTAAAAACACTGACAACTGAGCCATAACAGATTTTCTACAGTGTGAATGGGCAGACACTGCACTTGCAAACATTTTCTTTTCTTTTTTCTAGTTTTCTTTATAAACCTTGTGATTTGCAATGCCAAGGCATTTTAGAGAGGGAACAGGTGACGCTCAGTTTAAAACAAAATTAGGTTTGCAGTTTGCTTTTGAAGCCAGTGAAGCACGTTTTCCCATCCAGGCCACGAGGCAATTCCATGTCAACTTGCTATGGTGTCAAATGAGACAAACTCCAAGAGCCCCGGTGGTGGCAAGGCGGCGGCTCTAGGCACCCACTGCTCGCTGCACTCTGCAGCATCCGGACCAGGCATCCCCTGGGTTGTCCAAACTGCATTCGGGGCGGAAGCCACTACACCCCCTTCTCTGTCTGGGGTAAACTGAGGCACCGTGACCCAGGAGATCCACAGCCCGGCGAAGAGCCCCGCCTCTGCGTGGCGTCCTCCTTAGCCTGAGATCCGAGAGGCTTGGGGTCAGCAGGCAGTGGACAGCGCGCTCCCGGCCTCGGAAGGTTAGGGCGCGAGCCTTGGACGCGGTTGTCCCCAGCCCGCTGGTCCCCGCCCTGCACCGACCTCCCGCATCCTGCGACCCTCAGGAGCAGGGACCGCACCGCGTCCCGGAGCTCGCAGCCTCCGCCTGTCCGAGCTTCCGAAAGTTCCGCAGCTCCCGGGGTCGCTGACCACAAACCCAGCGCGGGGCTCCTTCCCACGCTTGCCCCGCCGCCCGGGCTCGCCCACCGGATCCCCTCACTAACCTGACACCACTGCGCCACTCAGGTGGTCGGCGTGCGCCGCTCGCCATGGCCATCCGGAGAGCCCTGCGGCGCCCTGCGCCGAACAGCCGTCTCCGCCCGCGCCTCTCCGGGATGCGGGCTGCGCGCCCGGCTGGCAGAGCGCAGACCTTCCCACCTACCGGCGCCGGAGCCCGCGGCTGCCGAGCATGCCCAGTGCGGCTGCGGGCGGTGCGGACGCCCGGTGCCGGACGCAGCCGCCGGGTCTTCGCTGCAGCCGGCGGCCGGGGCGGAGTGAGCCGAAGAGCGTGGGATCTACCCACCCGAGATCCGGGCCGTGCAGTGCGCGTGGGGGGATGCTCTACTCTGCCAGCCTCTGGGCGGGACCCGGCTCCTGCACGCCGAGGTGACTAATGAGCCCTGGATACTCACGGCAGACGCAGTCGTGCCTAGTAATTGTCGGGGGTTGGGGCGCGGGGGGGGGGCGGGGGGAGCGGGCAGGGCGCTGCCAGCACCGCAACTTTTCTGAGCGTCGCATCGCTGTGGCGTTCAAGGACACGCAGGGAAAGGCGTCCTGTAGTGCCATCCTGCATACCACAGGCAACCAGCCTGCCCACCCACTGACCTACCGGGTCGTTCAAGTCCTCACACCACCTTGCAAGCAGAGCGTCTCGGGCCTTCCCGGGAGACTGCGCGGTAACGTCCAAAGCCGAGCGGATACATAGAAGAGGTTGGCAGAGAGCACAGCAGGTGTTCGTGGCTGGCGCCTGGGTGATGGGATTCCCAGGGGCTTAAAAAAAATCCTCTTAAATTATTTGCAGTTTCTACGTTCTCTCTAACGAACGGTTGGTTTTTTAGTAGGAAAAATAAGTATTCTAAAAATATTTTTAACACCTACATAAGTTTTCTGGGCACGATCCTGCAGCGTTGGTGGATTTTTTTTTTTTTCATTTCTTTTAAACCGAGAGCATGTCAGTTTCTGGGGCGGAGAGCAGGCTCCGCCCCGCTGGAGCTGCTTTGCCCGCCCCCTGGGCACGCCCCACCCCGGCTCCTTCGCTCCAGGACCTCCTCCTAGGTCGACGGCTGCTCAGAAAACGCGGAGCGGTGGATTACGCAGATCCATGCTCCCTCTGGCTCCCACAGTCAGGCTGGGCACAGTCCAGCCTGGGGCAGGGATTGTTGTCGACAAGACAGAAGGCTGTTTGAGTAATCGCAGTCCATCACTGTCTCTACCCCTGACAAACTAAACAAAGTACTGCCGCCGACCCAAAGTCGGGGACTCGGACCTGCAGAAGTGGGTCCGGGTCCGACTGAGCATGCTCCTGACAATGCCAGACTGCCGCCCGCCGCAGCCTCTGGCATCTGGCTTGCCCAAGGCTGGGGAGGCAGCGCTGCAGAGCACCACCTCATCGGAGCTCAGGAGAACAGTGGGGGCTGGTCTTACAGAGCGCAATAGCATCGACACGTGGGCAAGATACCCACGCTGAGGGTCTTGGTGGCAGGATGTATGGGCCCTGGCTTCTAAGTGAATCAAAACCTAATCTTTACCTAAAAGATTGAAAACAGAAATTATTCTTTAACATTAGTTTAAATAGCGTCTTCACTAACAACACATCTTAGTCCAAAGAACCTTCAACCTCTCTTAAGAAACCTAATCTTTTTAAGTTATCCTCCAGTAAGCTTTACAAGTGCACCAGAGAACTAAATTAAATCTATCTCTCGGCTCTGAAATAATTTCATAATATTATACTCTTTTTCTTCTCGAGTATTTGTGTATTCTCTCAGACTATTCCTTTTCCTCCCAACTCCTGTTTAATGTCACAGAACCTGCAGAAGAAGTTTGTCCTATCTTAGAAACACTCAAGAGAAAAGGAGGTAAGGGAGACTTGCATTTACTCCTCAGTGACAGAACACTGAAGTGGAAAAAGGTTACAGGGAAAGGAGTTTACAGCTTTGGAGAGAGAGGGGGGAGGGAGAGAGAGAGAGAGAAGGAGGGGGGGGGAGCGAGAGAGTGAGAGTGAGAGTGAGAGCGAGAGCGAGAGAGAGAGAGAGAGAGAGAGAGAGAGAGAGAGAGAGAGAGAGATTGAATTGGGGGTTACTGAGTTCAGGAAGATGAGGGCCAGGTGAGGCTTGCTGAGATCTGGCCTCAGTGAGATTTTTCTTTATTTCAGCCTCTTGGCTTGGACTGGCCCCAGTTCAGTTCAGTTTAGCTTCAGTGGATGGAGTCACCATCTCTAGTAGGAGTTTATCTCCTAAAGAATATTTATATGCTTATATCCTAACAAACTGGGAATGTTGTTACCTTCTAATCAAATCAAACCTAGCCTTGAGAATCTATTCTTGCTCTTAGGACTAGAACAGTGGTCTGGATCTTGCTCAAGACTCCATAGACATGCGCAGCACAGATGGTGTAGCCTGGACAAAGGATGTAGCTTGGGAAAAGGGTGGGCAAGCTGTCTCCTCAGCTTCTATCTTGGCACTATGTTTGAAGCTTTCTCCTCCTGTCTACCTTGATGTGAAATGTTCTTAGTTCTCTGAGCTCTGTTCTTTTGCATCCTGCATTTCCATGTAACCCTATTCCTTTCAACCCCTTGTAGGTATCCTCTGGCTCTCCTCTTCTGCTTCTCCATGGTCTCTCTTCCTTCTGGTGATTCTCAGTGCCAGCGTGGTATTAGTTGGCCATACTTGTGAGTTCCTAGAGTATTTTACAGTGGGTCAAATACCGTTCTGATTGGTTGCTGTCTAGTGTCTATTCGTGTATGTTAATATTTTATGTCATCTTTGCGCTTGTGTTTTCTTCTCTATAACTCAAGTTCAGACCTTTATATGTGATATATCAAATATCTCAACTGGCATGACTCAAGAAACTCAAACCCTTTATGTCCCAGACAGAATTCATGAGCCGGTGACTGGTACCTCCACTTGCTCAGTCACATAGCTATCAAATCTGGAAATTTCTAGATCTATGTACCCGCCTTTCTTCTTTTATCCAGCTGGTCCCTGGCACTGTCCACCCTAACCTTAGGCATGTCTGAATATTGCCCCTGGTGTCACCATCTACATTGTCCTCTGCAGTCTTCATCACTGTCCCATCACCACCAATCATGCCCAGTGCACTGACTGCCTCAGCAAGTCCTCTCTAGGTTTCCTTCCATCCATCTTTTATGCCTCCTTAGATTTTTCTTTTTCAGTGAATTGTATTAGAATATATCTGCTAAAATTCCTTACACGAGCTCACAATGCCTTCAGTAGAAAGTCCAAGTTTAAGTATGACTTGATCCTATCCTTACTCCTGAGATGAGTTTCTAGTTGATGTCTCCTAATATCCTGTATCCTAGCCACTCATAATCACCTCTTGTGCAAATCCACACCTCCACATTCTCGTCTCCACATCCTTGCTAGTTCTTTAGTCTCTCCTTCACCCTAGCTCACCTGTTAAATATTAAGCATCCAAGAGTGAGTTTAGCCTGGTGTCCTCTGGCCTTCCTGGGGTGACTGCCATGTGTCTTGTCTCCATTTTGACACCCAACCATGAATTATTTTCTTTTGTTTTCTTCACTGTATTGTAGACAACTTGATAGGAAGGGCTATGCCTTACAAAAATTCACTTAATGAATGATAGACACTGTGCCAATATAATATTTAAAGGGTATTCATTTAAAATATTTGTCTTGAAGTGTTTAAATAGATTGCAAAAATATAATGACAGAATAAAGTGATATCCTAAGTAATCTAAGTAGTAGAAGTCTGATCTCAGGTTTAGCATCCTTAAACCTAGTACATTTCTTCATCTTAAGAAACAAGGAATGTTTTGTGAGCCATTCTGGTGTACTTGGCATGTAAGTTGGCCTAGTATTACTAATTAATTCATACATACCATTGTTCTCCATCACTTTGCTTCCTTTTGACAGCATAGTTATAACCTTCTAATTATCTGAAGGCTATTATTCCACTCCTTAGAATAGATTTAATTTTGCTGTTTAAAGCATAGTGCCCCAGGAAGCCAAACTAACCATTTTGTAATTAATACATTTTTTATAGATCTGTAGAATCATATTGTCCACTGATACTTAGAACTAAGCATGAGGGGTGGTCACCTACTTCAGAATCACCTGGAGGGGTGGTGATGACCATCCTAGAAAGAGTGATCAGAGAGGGAGTGACTTCAACAAGCCCTCCAGGTGATTCTGTACACTATACTTGAAAAACAGTCCTCACCCCTCTAGACAAAAGGAAATGTAACAGGCAGTTGGTTTTTCTTGCCATGCCTATTGTTATCTTTGTCATATGCTGAATAAACTTGCTTTCCTTCAAGAAAGAAAAGTAAAACAAAGAAAAGAAAGCGAGAGAGAAAAAAGAAAAGAAAAACAAAAACTATTGGTCTAAAACTTTAAGTGACCCCTATTTTGGTTTTCTTGGGTAGAAACATATGTATAAGAGGATAGTCAGTTCATTTTAAGAAGTGTTACACGTGTGTTTTTATTAAATGGCCTCAGCTTCTATTAGAGAGTCTGGAATAAACCAAGGAAGTAGCTTGTTTCTGTACTAGCTGAGTCATACAGGAATTTTGTTTGGTAACTGATGAAAGTTAAGTGTTGTTCTCGAGCACATCTTTCCTGAATTTGGCCTCCTTCAGTGGAGAATGAACAGGGTAGTAGAAGTTTGGCATTATGCTTTTCCCAAAAGATGGCAATAAGAGGAGATGATTCTACATCGTGCTTTTCTTCGTTCCTGGGAACCTGACAGAAAATACTTAGGGAGTGATTGGGGGAGGAATGAGAGGAAACAAACACTTCTCTCTGTAATCTTGGTGGCCAAGGCTAGTAAAGCCTCTTAAAACGTTTGAGTCAGTATTAGAAAAATATTTCCTTCCCTCTTGTGGGTTGAGCCTGTGCAGTGAGGCTGTTCCTTTGGAGGTGTGCAAGCATGTGTGTGGTCTAACCAGTTATCCAGCTGGAAAAATCCAGACATCAAATGGCATGCCTGAAACTCACAGGAGGCAGAAGACCCAGCTCAAAGGACCACACCCTTCCAGACCTCCTTCCAAGACCATACCAAAGTCCTTCCCTCCTGGAAAGTTTGCTAACCCATGTTACCAAGGTCCACCACAGCTAAGCACTCCCCATAAATTCCCCACCAGGGCTTCATTTGTTTAGGGACAAACAATTGGCAGGAAAAAAGATGCATTCAGTATTCTGCCTTCTGTACAGGGCAGATTTCATGAAAGCCGCGTGGATGTTTGCATGGGATGATTACAAGAAGCCCTGTTGATGAGAGAGACACAGCAACTCTTACTGGGAAAGTGGCTGAGCTCTCTAGAGGACCTCTTGGTAAAGAATTTGACTTTGCAGATGCCTTGGGCTTGAATTCTGCAAACATCTTGTCTTGTGTATAGCTTAG